CATGTTCCCCACAGATTTTAACCCAGAGGGTCTCCAGTCATCCACCCTGGGCGCCAATATCAGCTTGCAAGGATGCATAGCTTTCCTTGTAAGTTAGGGCCGCTACAGCAGTCCAGCTGACACAAGGGGTAGTGTTCCTAGATACCTACTGGCTGGCCCTCAGAAGGTCCTGAGGGCAAGTAGCCCTGAGCTGCTTGCCAGGGCAGGTTTTTATATTGCTGGGGCCAGCACAGGGCAGGTTTTTATACTACTGGGTCTAGCACAAGTGCTGGCCTCAGCTGCTAGCTCCCTCTGGCTGAAGATCCAGGAGGAGCTGGGCAGGGTCAGTTTGGCCCAAGTGACACAATTTGCCCCACACCAAAGTACCTGTTCAGGTATGTGTGCTGACGCAGAAATCTTTGGCACAAATCTGTGCTGCTGCTATTTGAGCTGTTGGAAGTGCACATGCCTGCATGTGTGAATGCACCCATGGAGAAAAAGGTTATGTAACTTCAGCTAAGAAGTGAAGAGCATGGAGATGCACATCAGTTATTCCTACTCTGGAATATTGCCCATGAGAGATAGAGGGGGATGTTGAGATCAGTTCCACAAGGAGGTAATTAAGCTCCATATGTCAACAGTGTCCACTGCCTTTCCTTTCCCCCCAATCCAGGGGACACTTCATTCACACCTCACCCTCTCCCCCCTCCTCCTGTGGGACATCTCCCCAAATTTGGCTTAGATGCTTCTCTGGGAGAAAATGTCTTGTTTGGTGACTTGAAGGTGAAGCAAGTGAGAGGGAAAGATGAGACCCTGAGGAACCTGGGTTAGGCCCTTAGAGAATATAAGGTGTTTCCTCCTTCACTGTCACCAAAACTTGCCCCAATTTCTTGGTATGTAAGGTAGAAAAATGAAAGATCTTACATTGTGTCAAAATGCAGAGTTTGGCATATAGAAAGAGGGCTGGAGAAAGAATACAGGCCAATGACAGACCCAGCAAAGTCCTCCCTTGGACAGCTCTGCCCAAGCAGCTTTATTTGATATGCAGGTCCTGCTGCTATTCTGGCTCTGAGCCTACCATATCACCTTGACAATGTGGAAAACTTCACCTATACCCCCCACCCCATCCCGAGCAAGACTTCCTATGCCAAGCAATGTAACTTCTTTACCTGGTTACAGTGAAGACACTGGTGTTGCTGAAATTGGAGTCACTCGAGGTATCAAGGGAACCTAATGGAAAAGAAGGGGCACTGTAAGTGTTAAAGCAGCATGTCCCACATGACAGAGCAGGAGGAGGGGACAGTGAGCATGCCTCAACCTGGCTGGCATCTGGCACAATACTGTCATTAGTTTGTCCTTTGGTCTTTGGGCAAAATCTTGACAACCAGTCTAGATACCACTCCACACTGACACTGTTCATTGACCTAGTTCTGAATACTGTTACAGTGTCTTTTCTACTTTCTCTAGTGCCAACTACTGGAAGAAGGTAGCAGCAAAAGCTAAATCTACAGCTTTCCAATTTCTTGACACCAGATATTGCCACCAGCTATATGTCCACCCTTCAGATGTCACTCCTTACAGAAACTGAACATAGCCAGGATCAAGGCTAGGAAACTGCTTTCCCAATTTCTAGGAGGGGAAACACTCAATCTTGCCCCAAATACAGTCTGTGGAACAGACTGGCAAGGGTTGCTTTCTCATCTAAGAAAAGACAGGCCTACGATATTCACGTGCAGATATCCGAGTCCAAATGAAGGTGTTTGTAGTTGGATGACCTGCCCCAGTACGTGTGGCTCTGACCAGTCTACTCATGGGCAAAAGGGAAAAAGCCAAAACATCCAAGAAGTTCTCTCATGCTAAACCCCCAGAACAGCCTCTTCTGGATCAAGGGCTGGCCCTAATGGGAAGGCTCAAAGTCACTGCCCATAGCCACTCCAGGGAAGGACAAGGCCTTTGTCAATTAAAATGTTAATATAACTACACTTACACCCTCCCAGCAGCTTTCTGCAGTCCACTCAAACAATGCTTTACACGCTATTGCGATTCTAGTTAAGTCATAAAAATGCACTTGCTGGTCTACTGCCTCCCCAACCTCAACTAAATGTAATGTCACCATTGCACTGTGTACAGCAGGGATGATCGACACTCCTGCTCTTCAAAGCTCAGCTTGTGATTAGCTCAGACTCACTGCAGAACTATGTGAGACAGTCTCTGCAGCTCAGCCAGCAGCCTAAAGGAGGATGTGAGGCACACAGGGTACCAGTTTACAAGAGGGTGGTAGCTTGTCAGCACAGGCCTGAAGAATCAAAGCTATTTTATAGCCCCTAATTGGGAAGGAACATCTAGGGACATGCATTTTGTACAGAAAACCCACACGTCAGTATAAACTGGGTTATGTTTTACAACATCATACCTGCTTTGACTGGGAATGAATCCCTGGGCTCTTGCCCAGCTAGTAGGAATTCTGAACACCAAACTTCCAGAAAAGGATGGGGGTCATTTAGGCACAGTCTCTGTGATCATTATTTGCCAAGTGCTTCTAGTCACACACAGTGATGCTGCCACATCAGCAGCAAAGTAACAAAAGTAGGAGGACATTAAATGACAGTGTGCTGGGGAGGAGCAGGATAATGAGCAATTTCTTTTTCATGCAATGTGTGAGCTAGTGAAGCTAAAGCAAAAAAGAAGAATCAAAGCAATTAAGATCCACAAGGGTATTTTTTATTTAAATTTCCCCCGTACCTTTAAATCTGATTTAATAAAGTTCTTAAATTTTACAACCAATCCTCCATATAAAGGAAAAGAACTTAATTGGGAAGGAAAATTTTTAGTTAGGGCAAAGCAATAATTTTACCTTATGAAAATTTTAACAAGAAAAGAAAAAAGAAACATAAAAAGAATCTTATTCTTGCATTGGCCAGGAATCTAACCCAAGCCCCCTGCATAGCAGGCGAGAATTCTACCACTGAACCACCAATGCTCCAGCTGAAAAAAAATACTGCTCCAGCTGTTTTCTTCCTCATTGCACATGGTGCACACATGGCAAAACTGAACAAGGATCTGGTTACAGTCCTGCTACAGGAATCTTTAGTATTGGCCTTATTTTATGTAACTGCTAGGTTTCAAGTTTTCCAGACAAGTAGTCTAAGGACCTTCTTTTTTAGTTTTGCTCTATATTTTGGTGCTTTCCCCCCCTCCTACTGGCCAGTTTCAGACTGCTACAGGGAAATGTTTGGCTGCATTACAAAGGAGTACAGTAAAGTTTCCTTTGATCAACTGTTTCTCCACACTCCACTGGGGAATCATAACAAGAGTATAAAATACTTGGAAGAATGGACAGCAAATATAAAACTATCAATAGCCATGACTCTCAAATATGAAAAAAAAAAAACTGTGAACCAATACCAGATGCCTCTGGAGGTAGGAAGCCATGCTGGGTACAGAAGAGATTCATCTGAAGTTCAAGCTTGAACCCCACACTTTGGTGCATTAGACTTGATGCCCAGGGCCTTAGCTTAGTGGTGAACTCCAAGAGATGGGTTTTAGTTTCTAAATGTTGGGGTAACTGGGCCTGGGCATTTCAACTCTGAAAATCAGTTCTGCCAACTGTGAAACAGGCCTGGGCCAGCATGTCACCTGTCCTAACCACAAGGAGACAGATTCTTGGGTTTGGTCCCAGAACCTGCCCCTGACTATGAATCTGGGGCAACCCTTTTGCTTTCCTCCCCCCACCCCCACTCCAAAAATAGAAATACCCCCATACTGAGAGGGCACTGTCAGGCTTCCTCAATGCTAGCAGTAGTGTACTCCAAAACATCCATACTGAAGGCTCTATAGGTAAGGGGCCGTTGTGTGAGAAGTGATGGTAAGATTGTAGCATGCACCTATTTACAGAAAGCAAAACCAGCACAGCCCTGAACAGGCTGATAAGAACCAGACTGAAGTGCTGTACATTTGAGATCTAAGCCAATTTTTTAAAAGCTCATTTTCAGGCATCTGGTCTTGCCCTTGAAGCCCCTGCCAGTTTAAGGTACTACACATTTTCATTTCTCTTAAGAAAAATTAATGTCCTTGTTGGTGCATGAATAATCATACAATTGATCAGGGACAAGCCACAAAACTAGACTGGAAGCTCTTTGGAGCAGCTTTGTTCTGGGTTTGTATATCACAGCATGCTGGGCTCCTAGCTGCAGCCCAAACAGATGCACATTCCGCATACTGTTATATGCACAAAATTAACTGGATAAAAAGGTCTTCCTGATTTTCCAGGTGTCATATTACTGTTAAGTGTCCCAGCGGCTGGCAGGTGGTGAAGTCTGGAAACACATTTACATATAGACATGCTTACTATTTGGGTTGCATAGACTATTAATCTATGCAACCCAGTCCAATGACCACTTTGACCAAAGTGCAAACTAAGAATCATGTTTTAGACTATATGCTAATTATATACCAGCATGAGAAAGTCAGACAAGTAAAATGTGAAGTTATTCCACAACCATTAAGAAAATTCAAGAGCAGCTTCCACAGGCTACAACTGCATTGTAGCTATTTGACTTAACTCTTCAGGGCAAGGACTGTTGAGCATAGACTGCTCCTTTTAAGGACCTGGCAAGTTATTACTCTCTACACCACTAGTTATTTGCATTAGGATAGTGCTTGGACCCAATCTGGACTGGCTGCTCATTGGGCTGGGTGCTGTACAAACATATCAAAAGCACCTGGAGTTTTTGGCTGAAGGCAAAGATGTGAAAGAGCACTTCAAGCGCAAGAAAACCTAGTATTTTTTTCTTGCATTCAGCCTACTCGACTACAGAGGGACCAAATCCAGTAAGAGGAAGACGGGCTCAATTTCTTTAGATGGATCATCTTTCCTGTTGTGTCTCAGCTCAGCAAAACAATGAAGGCATTCATCTTGTACTTAGCAGGTGTTTTGCCTACAAGCCCAACATTCCCCCCGAGAGTGCACTAAGGCCCCAGTCAGTGTCACTCTTCAGAAGCAGCCCTAGCTAACCAGGTCAAGGAAGTACCAAAAGGTTAATTATCTAGCCCTTGCCCAAGCCTGGATAAAAAGAAACTCACCACTGGAGGGCACCTCAGGCTTGGAGAGAGACTCCTCTGAGCTGGCTTCTGTTTGCAGGCTCATGGATTGCTTGGCTTCATCTGTTTCATCATCTTCTGGGATGACAAGCTTCATCAGGCTCTGGTTACACACATTGGCCACCTCTTTGATGTCTGGGCAGAGAGGATGTAAGGTGCATTTTGACCCAAGGGTGTGTACTCAGTGCAGCACATTGGATGAAACTATAGTAGTTATCCACAACACAGAACCACCTGCCCTTCTCCTGGGTCAGTCACTCTGGTGTTCTGCCAGATGGACCAAGAACCTTTTGAGCACTGATTATCTAGGACGGGGATGAGAGGAGGAACAACAGTGAATCCTTGGTGTCCCACCCCAGCAACCCTGGGTCTCAACTAGCTGCTCCTTTGCAAACTCATCCCCCCACATACAAGGGCATAAGCTGGAAGTATACCTGGTAAATCTGTACCAGGAGCAGCCAGAGCTCACATTAAAGTGGTTAACATCCCATAAAGACATAATGAATGTCTGATGAAGTGCACTGGGCAGCTCACACTTCTGAGGAAAGCCAGCTTCAGTAGAGGAAGGGACTATTCATACACTGGTGTCCTACTGCCCCAAGAGCAGCAGTGTTTCTACGCTAACCACCAATGACTAGTATCAAGGGCCAGCAGTGGCCCCATTACAAATGCAGCAAGTGACTTGCTTCCTCCCCAGCTTCAGCCTCAAACATTTGTTCTTTATCTTTCCACAAGTCTGCCTGTGATACCTAGGCACGAAGGAAGAAAATCAGTCATCTTGGACACCACGACTCATTTCTACCCCAAACCTAGAAAGCCACAAGCAGCTCTTCAAGGAGCTTTACCAGTATCACCCCAAATGCTGGTACACAGCAATCTGTGCTTGAAGAACAGACAACTGAGGGGAGGGAACAACACTGGAACTTGACAGCAGCCTCTGCTGGCCTGATCTGGGTAGCAAGGATACTCTTCTTGCGGTCATCATAGGATAGACACGGCAGAACTGCAGTCAGGATCCCAGAGGAGTAGGGCAGCATCACCCGGCCAGCCAGCTGGATGAACTCCCTCATCCAACACATGGCCGTCAGCTGTATCAGGTCATCTAACAGACATGGACCAAAGGAAGAGGTGAGGAAGAGGCAGACTGCTCCCTGCTGTTCAAATCACCACATGTTTACAAGCATGAAACCAGAAAACAGA